TGTGTTATTTTTAAAACTTTGTTTTTATTGGTAAAATAGCAAAAATTTTCTGTGAAAGTTGATATAATTTTTTTCGTTTTAGAACATATTCATTGCAAAAAATTGTCAGATACAGATAAACAAGTTATGAAAGTAATCAAGGGAGGTGTTGCCAACACAATTTCGGATTTTGAACTATGAGTGATTTCAGAAGTGCAGCAGTTTCTGAACTCAGTGTATCAATTGTCACTGCAGTGGAAGGTGTAACATGGTAGGAGCCTAGGAGGCTAGGAGATAGGTTTTTCGATCCATTTTCTTATGTTGATGTGAGAATATGTTACCAATCCAGAATTCCACAGGCCAACTTCTCCTGCTCCCTGCTGAAATGCAAATACCTCAGGAAATCATACCTGCCAAGTGCCAAGCCCCTAATTGTAATTATTAGTAATTAGTTTAATTAGTTTAGTAATAATTAGTATTGTAAAATACTCATTAATTAATTACTAGTAAAAATTAGTATTGTAATTAGAGTAAAGTAGGGTAAACACACCATATTCCGACACCTTAAGCTTAAGGATGTAGCAAGAAATAAATGGCTATAAATAGATAACCGTATGCGCAACTCAAGTTCTGATTGGTTTACATCACTCTCAAAACACCACACTATGCGCCAGCAATGATGAAACATCACAAACTGTTGCCATATTTATTTAAAAGCCTTTAGAATTCAAATCTACAAAATCGCTGAATTCCGACACATGTGTGACTAAATGCGGCATATTGTGAGACTAATTCCGACAGCGCTTCAAAATTGTAATTCGTAATTCCGACACCCGGTGTTGGAATTCCAACACCCTGTGTGAGCTGTGTCTGAATATGACACACAGCTGTCATGACTGTATGTCGTAATTCCGACACCATGTCAAATTAGTTTTTATGTGTCTACAACCGTCTCTTAAATCAATAATCTATTAATTTATTTACCACTTAAAATCAGCAAATACAAGTATACTTAAAGGATTCCTAATATATTCACAGACTTATTTAAAAATCTCAAACCATAATATGCTTTCTACACACACAGTTTATCACTATTTGGTAGAGCAAGGTCACCTGTCAACTTTCACATGTGTTTCGATGTTCTCACTGGGTGATGACCGTGACGCGGACTTTTGCTCTGCGGATCTTAATATTTTCCCACCAGACCTAGTGTTTTGTGGAAATATTGCGCGCAATAGTATGACGTCACTATTTCAACCATCTACGCATGCGTGGAATTAAGACAAAGCTTAATATAAAGGAAAAAGTTGAGAAGTGTTGGAATTACCCACAGTGTTGGAATATGGTCTTTTACCCTATCAGATGAACATCCTAATGGATTCCATTAGGATGTTCATCTGGTACTTTCAGACTCACTGACTGACTCAGTCTCCTAGTGAGTCTAGTCCCAGCGTTAGTGAACCAGAAGGAGATGGAAACCCTTCAAAATTTGCCCAATCCCATCATGTTGCATTTCCAGTTTTTCTATGTTAGTTAACTGCTCATTTGCTGAATTACTGTTTTGTCAATAGCAGGCTGAGCACCCCAGCAACAGCAAACTTATTAGAAGCTCTCACCTCACCTCACATCTGAGTGATCTGACAAGGCTAAATGAAGGCTTCAAAGTTCAGGTTTGGGAAACCATCAGGTTGGTTCACGTTTTGAGCTTGAGAGTCCCTAAGTATATTGGCAGCATCACCAAGCTCAGCCAGCTGGTAGCTGGCTGCCCTGTCACCAGTACAGACTCCAAAAAAGGAGTTTCATTCTTTGCCTTGGCCCTTGGCCTTGGGTAATGGGTTCAGACGTCCCAGATGAAAGGCTAGTTGTTCATGTTTTTTCCTAAGTTTATTGTCACCCCCCCCTCGTCCCATCTTACTACATTGAATACAATAATTATCTAAAGCTTATGACTTATGTAGGTTCCAAGAGCGTTACTTACGATGATATTTTCACACCACAGACACCGTCAATAATCATTCACAACTTTTACGTTCTACGCAACTACAGCTTTTTGTAAATAGCAAATCCGTGAGGTCACGGTCCGCAAGTCCGCAAATTTTACGTTAGAATAGAATAGAAGTGTCGGCTTTGAAGAAACAGGCCCATGGCCTGTTGCTGATTCTTGTACTTTTCGTGACTTGATTCCCCAAGGGATCCCGCCTTTGGAACCCGATCTTTCCATAACAGACGATTGATTGAGATAGCTGCTGGACTTATTGCCTGGCCCGTAATTTGCTGGGCATTGTAAGACTGAACATATGCTCCTGCATAGCTTCGTCTAGTGTGTTTTTGAAGGCGTTTATACTCGAAGCGTCAACGATGCTATCAGGGAGGCTGTTCCACATGTCGTAGACTCGAAGCGAGAAGAAATGTTGTCGCATGGATGTGTTCTAACGCTGTTTTTTTAGTTTATAGCCGTGGACCCTTGTGTTGGTTCTTGTTTCAAATTCTAGTAATCCTTCTGGCATTGTATAAGCCATGAGTATACTTGTATGCTTCAATGAGGTCCCCACGCAGACGTTGATAACTAAGGCTTGGAAGCTTCATAGTCTTCAATCTTTCCTCATAAGACTTACCTTTCAAGCCCTGAATTATCCTTCTTGCGTGTCTTTGAACACTCTCTACTAAATTTTTGTCCTTTTCAATTTTCAGTGACTACACGACGTTTCCAAATTCTAGGTTCGGGCGCACGACAGCAACAAACAACTGCTTCATCGCTTCTGCATCTAGGAACTAGAAAGAGCGTCTGATCAGTCCAAGACGTTTATTGGCTTTATTAACTTGACCTTCAATATGCTCAGAAAATTTCAACTCATTGTCCATATTAACTCCTAAATCCTTTTCCATTGTCGAATTCGACATCATCACTCTGTCGTTACAACCGTGTCTTCTCATACTGTAATCTTGTTCATTATTCTTGCCAAGGTGGATAACTTTACATTTGTCAGCGTTAAAACGCAGCTGCCACTTATCAGCCCAGTCAACCAGCCTGTCAAGATTACCTTGCAACTGTACTTTTTGCGACGTATTCTTCACTGTATTATAAATTTTTGTGTCGTCAGCATACATGCCGCTCATGTGGGACACTGTGAAAGGCCTTGCAAAAATCGAAGTACACTGCATCTACTGGCTCCCTTTCGTCCAGCAGGCGGGTCCATTCGTTCAGAGTTGACAAGAGGTTAGTGGTGCAGGATCTCCCGGCAATAAAGCCATATTGACAGTCTGATAGGAGATTACTAGCAGTCAAATGATCTATCAATCGATCCCTCACAACAGATTCCATTACCTTGCAAACGACACTTGTCAAACTGACAGGGCGATAGTTGCCCGGACAGCTTTTGCCACTTTTTTTGAACAATGGTGTTACTTAAGCTTCTTTCCAGTCAGCCTACAAGATGCCTTCGTTCAAAGTTTTTCGAAAAAATGACGTCAGAGGGCCGGCTAGTACAGTTGCTAACTCTTTGAGTAATCTGGGGTGGAAGCCGTCCGGTCCACACGACTTGTTTGGATTTAGAGCGATCAGGTGCTTGAGAACCTCTTCTTCTTGTATGTCAAAACTTGTTAATTTAGAGCCGACTGGGCGCTCCTCAATAGCTGGAATACTGTTCAAGTCCTCTTCTTAGAATACGCTACTGAAAAAAATGATTAAGTACGTTAGCCTTGCCCTCATCAGAGGATATCTTCCGTTGATCTACTTTCAAATCAGAAATACAGTCTTTCATCTTGCACTTCGAGCTAGCATACAAATAGAAGGCCTTCGGGTTCTTTTTTGCATTTTTAGTAAAACTTTTTTCGATGGTTTTTACTGCGGTGCGACAGCTTTCTTTTGGTTGATTTCGAGCTATTGCGTATAGGTTATAGTCAGTATCGCTACGACCCTGAGGATTAATATTCCTGTTCGCTTCCATCCACCAATATAACGATAACCAAGGTAAAATGCAAAGGATGCCAAATCTAAATGTATAGCTGAAGCCAGAGCGATCGAAAAAGCTTCTTGGAAAATATTCGGTAATCGAACCCTACAAATCGTATTTCTTAACAGTATTATACGGTTATTATTGACGAGTTAAAGGCAGTAGCTGCTGAGTAGCGACCTTTGTTTTATTGCCGGTAGTTGAGGCAGACAATATAAGTGGCAAGTACTAATGATTAACTGCCACTAATTGCCTGTAGTTGAGGCAGACAATACAAGTGGCAAGTACTAATAATTAACTGCCACTAATTGCCGGTAGTTGAGGCAGGCAATATAAGAGGCAAGTACTAATAATTAACTGCCACTAATTGCCTGTAGTTAAGGCAGACAATATAAGTGGCAAGTACTCACTGCCACCAATTGCCGGTAGTTGAGGCAGACAATATAAGAGGCAAGTAACTCTCACCATGGCTGCATCAGCCCAACTGGCCGCTTCTCCAGCGAAGAAATCAACACATCGTTGTCCCTCTCGGCCGCGTCTCGGGCACATGCCTCTGAAGCGGCTGAACCCCAAGACACGAGGCTAGTAGCGTGGACAGTTCAAGCGGCAGATAGAATAGAAGTGTCGGCACTGAATAAATAAGCCCATGGCCTGTTGCCGATTCTTGTATCAACCGGCGGCCAGTGCTGTCCCCGTGTACAGGCACCTTATACGACCAGGTTAATAAAACTCATCTGAGTGGTGCAGAAGTTGCTTTTATTGTGCTCCTTTGTGATATTATTAGCACTGTGATAAAACAAGATTATTTGATCACAATATAAGAATATTACGCGTCATCTTGGATTCAGCCTCAGATTAAACAATAATTTTAGATAACCAGCCTCGTGGCCCGCAAAATCCACCACTATGGCGCAATGACGCAATCCAAAATTTCCTTTGTGACAGGAAGCAGTGATTTTGGTCGCAGGTAAAGTAGCTTGGGGAGTCACTCTCACCAAGGAGCTGAAGTGCGAACCCCAAACTGTACCATCAAGGCAGCCGCCTACAAAGCGTTAGCGCGAGTGCGCGACCCATACTGAAGTACGTAAGTTGTGTGTGGGATCCTCGTGCAGCAGACGATATTGCCACTCTTGAAAAAGTACAGCGTAGAGCAGCGCGGTGAGTCTCGTATTATTTGCTCCGGGCTTCCAGTGTGTACAACGAACTCTGTGACCTGGCATGGCCAACGTTGCGAGACAGAAGAAGGCGTGCTAGGCTTACCATGCTTTACAAGATCCACAACAACCTATAGCCACCTCTCCCTCCCCTGTCAGCTGCTCCATGCAGAATACCAGCAAGTCCCACCCTCTACAGTATGTCGTTCCTTTCAGCTGGACTCAATACCCCCAGATGACATTTTTCCCCACAACCATATCCGAATAGAACCACTTGCCTGCTGACGCCATCCAGCTCAGGTTTGCCCCCCTCTAAATGTTATATAGGTAATGACTAAATGCAAAATACAATAATAGCGATTACAACAAGTATAGCAAATTCTTAACAATTGATGTGGGTACCTTCAGCAGAGAACAAGAAATAAAGGGAATTAATTTCATGCACACGACGTATATAAGCAAAAAAATTATACGCCAGCAAAAATTATACTGGTGTGGAAGCCACTTGATTTTCAGTGTTTACGAGCAACATGCCTTTTAAGATCAGAGTTGCTAGTGGCGCTGTACTCACAAACTCCGCACTTGTATTTCTTTTCTTTCTTCAGATGCACCACATCAACATGTATCTTGAGATTCCCACTAGAATTTGCAGCGTAATCACACTGCGAACATTTGTGTTCCCTCAAATTCATGTGCACCGATTTCATGTGCTGTTCTAGCTTAGTTTTCGTGCAAAACCCGCGCTTGCATGTCTGGCACTTGTGAGGTCGCAATTTTAAATGAACACTATTAACATGAGAATTAAGATGCCCTTTAGTGCTGCAAGTGAAGTCACATTGAGGACACTTGTGAGGCTTTAGCTTCAAGTGAACGTTAGCGATATGCCCAGCAAGTCTTGCTTTCGACTCAAATGAATAGGAACAGTGCGGGCACGAGTGCAGTCTGTCGTTTAGGTGCATTCTGGAAATGTGAACTTTTAGATCACCTTTCTGAGAAAAGTAACCGTCACACTCATCACACTTGAATGGCTTTAGTTTCAAGTGAACGACTTTCATATGGCGCGTAATATTACTCTTCACGGCGGCAGCGTAGGCACATTCATGACATTTGTAGCGCCTGAGTTTCTGATGAACACCTGCAATGTGATCACGAAGAAGTGTTTTAGTTGTGGCAGCATAAGCACAAAGATCGCATTTGTGTGGTTTTATCTTCAGATGTACAGCTTTTATGTGCCGGTTGAGATCGTTCTTGGCAGTAGCAGCATAGCTACAGTCAGAACACTTGTAAGGTTTCACTATTAAATTGGCGTCGGCGAGATGGTTATCCAATTGGAAATTGGAAGCAGCAGAATGGGAATTAGAGACGTGGCGCTGTAGCAACGCGGGAGAGGAAAAATTCATGTAACAAACTGTGCACTTAAAGAATTTCTTCGGCTTTGCATGCGCTGTGTTTAAATGGGTTTGCAAATTAGAAATCCGACTGGAGGCATAATCGCACTTAGAGCACTTGTAGGGCCTCAATTTAAGATGAACTGCGTTGATATGTCGGTCAAGATCACATTTAAAGCGGAAAGCTGCGCCACAGACATGACACTTGAGAGTCTTCTCTTTGTTACGACGTACGTGGGAGGTTGTGGAAGAAATTGCCTCCTTCATAGAAGCATTTAGACGCTTGGAACAACTGAGGGATGTCCTTCGCAGACCATCAGTATTTTTAGAAAAGTTTATCTTATTTTCTTTACTTGAATTTGGTCCTCCACTTATGCCCACTTTTTCACTGTGCATTTTAGGTCGCTCTGAATCTTTGCTCCCATGATCAGGAAGAGGCTCTGGAAATGCTATTTCTTCTGAGCAAATATTATTTTCGTTTTCTTCACTGCAAACGTATTTGTAATTTTCAGAAACATGAATGCGAGTCAATAGTACACTGCATTTTTTTAATTTGGCGCACAGATGCTTAGAACGTTTGAAATCCACAGAATTGTGCGCCTCATTCACCTTAAAAGAAGCCTCCCGCGTTGCAGGGACAGTTCTTGTTCCATTGTAGCTGAGAACGTTACAATTTACTGATGGTGCAGGAGTAGGAGGAAGGCGGCCATTGTTAGGCGAGCGAGCTTCACCAGCTTCTTGTTCAGTGGTTGAGATTTTCATTTCATTTGTTTGACTCTTGCCCTTGGAAGTTGAAGTTTCTGAAGGCGGAAGAGCCATTGAAGCACCACAATTGTGCACCTCCAGAGAAGTAGAGGCTAAGCAGGCAGTCTCAGAGGCTTTTTGTTGAACAGCGGTAAAGATTCCTGCCCTTGTTGGGAGTTCTTGGTTTGCAGGAGGAGCCTGGGGGATGGATGGAGATGCCCCCAGCCTCGACAGGCTCGGCCTTGAGAGAATCCAAGCCCAGGAATGGAATTTGCAACGGTTTGAAGTCAGCAACTGTGGCACTGTCCTGCTCAGATGGATGAAATGTTACTTAATGAATTTAGTCTGAGTGTTGATGTACTAAAAAATATGTATAATATTTGGGAGAACTTGGGTCGGCAACTCAGAGGCTAATCAGATGAATTTACTAAGTTTCACATCTAACATGCACATTTAGGCCATTTTCGTGGCAGTAAATTGGAAATCTGTCATTTTTCTACCAGTTAATCTTTCTAAAAAACTTCAGTCTATGGAGTTTGATAACCTGAAGCATGTTGGAAGCTAGACTGAGATCTGTGCAAAATTTAAACTGATGCGAGATCGTATTGTAAAACACAATCATACCTAATAAAATTTAATAATCCTATATTATGCAAGCAAATTGTTACTGGGAAATCATAAATTTATCTTAAGTTAAATGATAATATATAGATGCCTACTACCATAAAAGTTTATTTTCATAATAGAAAATCTGTATTAGTTATATGTCATAAATTCTACACTGGTAAAAAACTATATACTCAGCTTCATAATAAAAAGAAGGCTCAGACATCTGGGATAGATTGAACTATAATGCATCTTGGAAATGATCCGAATGAAGCAAGAACTTTACTCAACTTTATTAGGCTATTATTGGGATTTGGATTATTAATTAATTTCATATAATAATAACAAAAAAACATTCTTCAAAGGAAAATCACTAACTTCTTTCATGAAGAAAGGTTCCTCTTTCTCCACTTCAAGGAAGCCAGCTGGGAGCCCCGAGTCACAGTTTGATTGCTGCTCATCACGAGGCTCAATCTTCACAGCTTCTGCAAGTGCCACAACTTGAGTAATGATTCAATTATTGAGGAACATACTTCAAAATTGTCAATAGTTACCAACCTTAGCTTATCATATATGGTCTAAATACTCAGCACTGGCTACATGAATATTAACATCAAATTTGGGAATACCAGAAATCAATTCTAGATCTTGTATAATTTATATAAATCTTATCCAAACCTTACAACTTAACTTAAAAAAGCCTTAATTTCTGTGATTTGTGCTAAAATCAGAATAATGATGACAAATCCTTTATTTTCTGTATACTTGCTTGTGCCAAAATATGTACTAAGCAGCAAATAAATTTTCAAACTTAATGTCAAAAGTTGGAGAGCTAACAGTTCTCTGCCAGAGACACTTCTTGTACATATATACTTGCTTAGATAATATAAGTCATAAAACCAAACCAGATTCTTGAAATTGCAAGTGTATAAACATATATAAAATTGATTTTCATTATATGGCAACCAGAGCAAACTTCAATTTGTTATAAATGTAATGTATATAAATATTATGACAAAATATTACATAAATCAAAACATTACAATGAGCTAATTACCCATGACACAACTTGGCAAGGAATGCTCCATCTGCCTGCAGTCTTCAGCTGTATGATGACACAGCTCGAGACCTGCACCTAACTTGACTGCATCAGAAGACTCCTGCAATGCGGGTAACTCCTTCATCTCTGCTGGAGTCTTAGAGCTCTAGAATGTTTCTGTAAGGTATAATGCAAGTTTAGGTAGTGCAAGATATTCAGAGTAAACAGAATTGGGCTCACAACTTTCCCTTAAACATGGATTAGAAAAGGCAAACTTTTTACCTAAAGTCACATACTAGTTTACTCTAATTTGAAATTTTATTGCTTATACACATGGAGCTTATGCCCAATTATATAATTTGGTACACTGTACAAAGTTTGTGAACTAAGAAATGACTTGGGTAATGCACAAGTATTGAATATTATTTCTGAAGAAAATCTTGAAAACATATAAATTTGGTTTTGATTAAATCCTGACATTCTTATCTATAAATATGGGGTCGTACTTTCAAAACATTAAGTGTTTGTAGCAACTCAAGTACTGCATAAGTCATCTAAGTACGCATAACTCCAAAATATGGTACCTTTAAAACATTTCCACACTGAGTTACATCAACAAAGTTATGCATAACTTCACAAATGATAGAAGCACTCATAAGTTGAGTTACGTACAACTTCTGAGGCCTTAAAGCAATTGAAAATGAGTTTGAACTCTACAGTGAACCGTGAACGTTTTTCCTATATTCCTTAGTTCTTTACAAGTCAACTGTTTTTGTGCTATCAGTGAACCAATTTGTTTCACATTTGTGTTGATCCGGGTTAGTTAATTGTTTTCAATAAGAATAAGTATGAGAAACTGGAATCAAATGATCGATTTAAAACAACAAAGTTTTAAGTTATTACTCTATAATTATAATATTAATGTATGCTCAAACAATGATGTCTTTCATTTATCAAACCTAATGATAATGATTCCTATCACTCCTGCTGACACAGTTTGATTAAATAGCACTGTGGGAGTTGGCATTTGTTCTTCCAGTTTCCAAGATCCAATTTGACTAGTAGAAAGTAGTTTGGTAACACATTAAGAATTGTGGCTATCCATCATTACCATCAAGCAGGATGGAATTCTAAAAATTAAGGTTCATATATTATTTCCAATTCATCTTCACCAGTGTTTTTATCCAAAAATTTTAGTTGAGATAGAAAGGATAAAAATAGGGAGGGAATAAAGTTACACTTGAAAGAATCAAGAATGAAGGTTGCAACTTGCAAAACTTCAAGATTTCAATTACACTAAATATTAATTCATTAGCATTTCATCTCCAAGTCAAACACAACAAATTAACATTAACAAATTAATAACAAATCACACCACCAATAAGAGTTGAACTCAACATGATGCACCGCAAAGTTATTTCACGAGAGCAAAATCTCATATGCATTCACTCGCTGAAAGCTAACCAGCGACTGCATTTGATGGTCGGCAATGCCGCTTCTGGAAGGTTAGCGTTGGCGGTATTAAGCAGCAACAAGCGGTTATATTATGGTTGGCAATGCCACAATGCAACTGTAATATTACTGTATGTAAGTACTGTAGTAGTATGGTTATGGTACTTACCATGAGTATCATGGTAGTTTCACAAATGTATTCAGGAACAGATTCTGAAATCAAAGTGACATTTCCATTCTAAAAAAAATTTTCAATATTAAAAAAATTGAAAAAATAATTGTGTCAGCAACAAATCTTATAACTGATATTTGAAACACTTTTACCCATTTAATTGATCTGAAATTTTGCACACTTGTGTGAAGTCAGAAGCAATGCATGAATCAATTAACAGAATAAACAATTTAAAAAAATTTTATATATTAAAAAAATTCTATATATTGAAAAAAATGAAAAAAATTTTTCAATATTTGAAAATTAAATGAGAAATTCATTGTACATCTGTAAGATTGGAGACACTGATTCTTTGGAAGTGTTGTCTTTAAAAAGTAATTTTTAAACGTTTTATTTTAGAACATATTCATTGCAAAAATTTGTCTGATACAGATATACGACTAGTGAATGGCATATACAACTAGTGAAAGGAGGCATTGCCGATACAGTATCAGGTTTCAAACCACGCAAGATATTGGAACATGGAACTTTTTGAAAGCATGGCAGTTTCTGATGAGCTCAGTGCATCAATGGTCACTGCAGTGGAAGGTGTTAGGTCATGGTAGGTTTTTCTATCCATTTTCTTATGTTCCATGAGAATATATTACCTATACAGAATTCCACACTGCGTATCAAGAGATCTTTACTGACATTTTTGTGAATTCCCTTCATCCCACTTGGTTCCAAAATATATCATCATGGCAAGGCTAAGGTATTGGCCATGATGCTAAATCATTTGCAATAAAGTTGGTGATAGGACCATTAAGACGTTCATCTGGTACAGGCTTAATAGTACAATTAAGGGGTTGGCACTTGGCTGGTATGATTTCCTGAGATATTTATATTTCAGCAGAGAGGGCAGGAGAAGTTGGCCTCTGCTCAGAAGTAAAAAGTTGGAATGGTTTCAGTCTCAGAGTCAGATAATTCTCCTTGTCCTAGTGAACCAGCATGAAATGGAAACCCTTCAAAATTTGCCCCAACCCCATCATGTTGCATTTCCAGTGTTTCTATGCTATTTAACTGCTCATTTGCTGTTTTTTTTGTCAACAGCAAGCTTATCAGAAACTTGCATCCACTTCCAAGGCCTGGAATTTGGGAAGTCATCAGGTCAACTTAAGCTTTGAGCTCAAGAATCCCTAAGTATATTTGCACCATCTCCTTGCTGGTAGCTGCCTTGTCATTTGTATTGACTCCAAAAGGGGTTTCATTCTCTACCTCACCCAGGGTGCAGAAGGTGCAAGCAGCATTGCCAATATATGCATTTATAGCCCAAAGCATAACCAGCCATTTTCAGGATTCATTGACAGGTAATTTTAATAAAAAAATGCTGCTAACAACTTTGAATTTTGATAGTATATCCCTTACTCTCCACGCACTACAACACATATAACTTGGCAGTTGGCAGCTATCTGGTAGCCAGACACTGGATGCATGGCGCCATCTATTGAGAGAGCAGCAAAGTAGAGTGAGGCTCAACACGATTCTGCCACCTGGACCGCCAAGAGATTATCAGATATCAACAAAGCCGTCATGAACCCTATGTCCTAGCAACCTTTGCTTAGTTCTAGATTTATTATTCTTGTTATTCACTGCATCTGCCTGGTATTCTGCCCGTCTGCCGCACGCAGCACCACTTGCAGTCATTCAGATTTTCAACATTTTCTAAATAGTTGGCCAAAGACTGGCAAATATTTAGAATGAAATAATTTCAATCCAAATGTGTCGGCAAGAACTTTTGAAGGCGTAAATTTTGCTGCTGATGCGTCGCCAAAGATCTTGCTGTATTCACCCACTTTCTGCACAGTGGGGCCTCTCTGGTGGCCGGCCTCGGGAACGGGGTCAGACTCAGACGTCCCAGGGGCCAGATGAAAGGCTAGTTGTTCTTGTTTTTTCCTACGTTTACTCCCACCCTGTCCCATCTGCCTAAATTAAATGAAATAATTACCTAAAGCTTATAAAAGTTTCAAGCGCATTACTTACGAATAGGAATGAGGACCTCTTTACACCACCGGCATCGTCAATCGCAACGTCCTTCTTCATCAAAGTTTATGGGAGCCTCTGAATACTAGTTCAATGTGGCCCCATGACAGGACGGTTTAAGGAAATTACGGTGTTAGTAAGGAAAAATTAGGTTCAGCAACAAATTTAGGTGTTCTGAAGAGTTGTCCATTCACTAACCACTCACCTGGGGGCACTAACCACTCACCTGGGGGCACCAACCACTCACCTGGGGGCACTAACCATAAACCCGGGGGCACCAACCACACATGGGGGCTGGGGCTATCTTAAGGTTTTGTAAAGTAACAGTTCCAAGCACTCAAACAGTACACCTGGCGAAGCCAGTCAGGACTAGGCGACGCAAAAAAAAATTTTCTCAAATCGTATCAGCTGAACTGCATTTTGCAGTGGGCATTGCTAGGTATTTGTCTATAGCAAGTAGCTCCTTCGCCGGCTCAACGCCTCGGAGCGAGACAGCAATGTACAGCATCCACGGGCACTTAAAATTTGAGAACGATGACGTGGCAGCAGGCTGAAGCCGGCTTTCGTCATGGGAGCTCAGCACAGCACACCTTCCGCTTCAGCGGTCAGAACAGAACTCCAATCGCAACGTCCACTTACCGAATACCAACTACGGCTTCAAGTAAACAGCAAATCCGTGAGATCGCGTTCCGCAAGTACGTAAATTTCATGTTGATTAAATATTTTTTTAAAGAGGAGGAACAAACTATTTTAAATGTATTTTTAGACAATCATATCTACATTTCTTGATAAATTATCATCCATTAATTATTAATCAGTTTTTACTTCGCATTCCATGACAAAGCTAAAAGTCACAACAAGTAATTTTATGTCTGCGAACACAAGATGTGTCCGTAAAACAAGTTCCTCGGGATGAGACTGGCGCGCGGGTGCAGGCTAGGCAACAGAGGCAGGTTGTTTGATTCCCCAACTCAAATCTCTTACCAAGCCAGGGTAGCTGCGGCCGCTAGGAATAAACCGGAGAAGGAAATTCACGAAAACATTTGTCAAGCTCTGGAATGTTGCATAGTTGGGTAAGGGTCTTTAAAATTGGCCGAACTGACATCCACGACGACACCCGTGACAGGCGGCCATCGGTTTCTGACGAAACTATTGCCAGGTCAAAGCGATAATGCTTGAAAATCAACGGATTACAGTTCGAGAGCTGTGTAAAAAAAAATATTCAGCAAAACCACAATTAACAAGATTTTGGCTAACTATTTTGACTATTCTATGGTCTGGTAAACATGGGTACCAAAAACGCTCACAGCAGACCACCAGCGGCATCTCAAAACATTCATCACCCACAAGGGACTGAAGCTGGCAAGAAGCGACGTTAGCATCTCAAAGAGACGAAGTGACAAGGAAGTGACAGGTGAAAGAAGCGGGAGGTCTCAAGTGTCCAGCCCGACGGCTAATATTTCGTTGGCTTACAGCTCATTGGCTCGCTGGTACACTTCCATGAAGGAAATTTGTACCTTAGGCTTTCAGCACATAATACCGCAGGTTACTTTACCCTGTAGCAGGCTTGTGCGTGGGAAGGAGTATGCAAGTGATGCTGGTATAGGGCAATGCTGGCCTCCAGCATGCATACCGTCCTGATATATGTAGATTTCATCGGTTGTCTATTAAGATAAGAGAAAAGTTATACGAAATTACTGGTATCTGAACATTGTCTTCAATTCGTGATGAACAATCAATAATTTTTTGGGGCCGTGTTGACCAATCAAGGATAGACGAGAGGCGAAGCAACTTCTAATGGATTGTCTACATACAAGTTCCGAATTATTTGCTGGTTATGCGTTCGTGAAATTTCTACCGAATGATAACATTCATGCGTCACAAGTCAGTAATTACAACATTGCTTCCTTATTCGGCTATAAGCATCTTATTCCTGCCCGGATTCTGTCATCTACGATTTCTCAATGCAGTTTAGCTCATCAGCGTACGTCGGAATGCCGTCGTGTAACTTCTACATCTGAGTTGCTGAACTCTGCGGCAAATATTTTTCATTCTAGAGTCCCGCTATGACAATTTAAAAGACAAAAAACTACAAGTGGTGAAGCAAAACTATTTATTAGTTTGAATTCAGCACACACAACTTAGCAAAAAACACCTATAACCATTCTTGTCTCGGACAAAAAGTCTTTCGCTACAACCAATGTAAAGGGTTGCATAATAAATGCATCACATATATTTGAAAATAAACACAAAATGGGTCAAGAAGCAAATCTAGCAATTTGAGGTAGAAGGAACACAAGCGCGCTGGGCTCCAGGTCCATTATCTTGACCCCGACTACAGAAGATGATGGGCCTTATCAGCGTCGACAGCTTGACGGACATGAAACTTTTCCGCAATAAGCGAAAAAAAGGAAGAACACAATGTAAATACAATCAACACATGAATTTTGGCACGCCATCAATTGAGGACAGATGAGCAATAACAAATTTTAACGGTAAGTGCTGAGCCCCGAATGGAGAAACTAAACTTAGGGGGTTAGTGAAACTTTATAGGTAGAGGATTAATATTCCTGTTCGCTTCCATCCACCAATATAACGCTAATCAAGCTAAAATATAACGTTGACCAAGTTAAAATATAACGTTAACCACGGTACAATACAACGTTAAACAAGGTGAAATATAGCGTATAATAATACAAAATATTATTTTGATAATGTAGCTGAGAGAAATGAACATCTTGTAGCAAGGAAATGAAAGCGAGATTCTCCAGCAATAATAAAAGTGAGCAGATTACTGATTTTCAAAGTTTGGTGGAGACATGCTTCACAAGATGGGATTTCCGAGCGGCGCGGTATTGACAAACTTCGCACTTGTGATTCTTTACTTTCAGGTGCACCGCATCCACACGTTTCTTCATATTCCCACGATAATTTGAGGCAAAATAACAGTAAGAACATTTAAGCAGTTTCAGATGAGTAACATCCCTGTGCATCATAAGGTGACCTCGGAAACTCGTAGAAAATTTGCACTCAGAACATTTCTATATACTCTGTGTGACAAGCCAATTGATTTTCAGTGTTTACGAGCAACATGGCTTATGAGCTTAGACTTGCTAGTGGCGATGTACTCACAAACTCCGCACTTGTGTTTCTTTATTTTCAGATGCACCGCATCAACATGTCTCTTGAGAACCCCGCGAGAACCTGCAGCGTAATCACACTGCGAACATTTGTGATCCCTCAAATTCATGTGCACCGACTTCATGTGCTGTTCTAGCTTATTTTTCTGGTAGAACCCGCGCTTGCATGTCTGGCACTTGTGAGGTCGTAATTTTAAATGAACACTATTAACATGATAATCAAGATGCCCTTTAGTGCTGCTAGTGTAGTCACATTGAGGACACTTGTGAGTCTTCAGCTTCAAGTGAACGCTAGCAACATGCGTAGCTAGTCCTGCTTTCGACCACAAGGAATAGGAACAGTGCGGGCACGAGTGCGGTCTGTCTTTGAGGTGCACCCTGGAAATGTGAGTTTTTAGATCACCTTTCTGAGAAAAGTAGCTGTCACACTCGTCGCACTTGAATGGCTTCAGCTTTGCATGCACTGTGTTTAAATGGGTACGCAAATGAGAAACCTGACTGGAGGCATAATCGCACTTAGAGCACTTGTAGGGCCTCAATTTAAGATGAACTGCGTTGATATGTCGGTCAAGATCATATTTAGAGCAGAAAGCTGCGCCACAGACATGACACTTGAGAGTCTTCTCTTTGTTACGACGTACGTGGGAGGTTGTGGAGGAAATTATCTCCTTCATAGAAGCATTTAGACGCTTAGAACGATTGAGGGATGTCCTTCGCAGACTATCAGTATTTTTAGAAAAGCTTAGCTCATTTTCTTCACTTGAGTTTGGTATTCCACTTTTGCCCACTTTTTCACTGTGCATTTTAGGTTGCTCTGAATCTTCGCTACCATGCTTAGGATGAGGTTTTGGAAATACAATTTCTTCTGAGCAAATATTATTTTCGCTTTTTTCATCGCAAACGTAAATGTAATTTTCAGAAACATTAATGCGAGTCAATAGTACACTGCATTTTTTTAATTGGATGCACAGATGCTTTGAACGTTTGAAATCCACAGAATTGTGCGCCTCTTTCGCCTTAAAAGAAGCCTCCCGCGTTGCAGGGACAGTTCTCGTTCCGTTGTAGCTGAGAACGTTACAATTTACTGATGGTGCAGGAGTAGGAGGAAGGCGGCCATTATTAGGCGGGCGAGCTTCACCAGCTTCTTGTTCAGTGGATGAGATTTTCATTTCATTTGTTTGACTCTTGCTCTTGGAAGTTGAAGTTTCTGAAGGCGGAAGAGCCATTGAAGCACCACAATTGTGCACCTCCAGAGAAGTAGAGGCTAAGCAGGCAGTCTCAGAGGCTTTTTGAACAGCTGTAAAGATTCCTGCCCTTGTTGGGAGTTCTTGGTTTGCAGGAGGAGCCTGGGGGATGGATGGAGATGCCCCAGCCTCGACAGGCTCTGCCTTGAGAGAATCCAAGCCCAGGAATGGAATTTGGAACGGTTTGAAGTCAGCAACTGTAGCACTGTCCTGCTCAGATGGAAGAAATGTTACTGAATGAATTTAGTCTGAATGTTGACGTACTAAATAAGTATATTATTTGGGAGAACTAGGGCTAATCAGATGAATTTAATAAATTTCACAATTGACGTGCAAATTAAGGCCGCTTTCATGGCAGTTAATTGGAAATCTATCATTTTATACTAATTAATATATTCTAAAAACCTCGAGTCTATGGAAGACCTTGAACATTATTAATAAGCATTTTAAAAAGACCTAGAGCATTTTGGAAGCTAGACCGAGATCTCCGCAAAATTTAAACTACTGCAAAGATCGTATTCTAAAACACAATCATACCTAATAACTATTGATGAACCTATATTACGCAAGCGAATGGTTATGGGGAAATCGAAAATTTAGCTGAAGTTAAGTAATGTCATATACCGCAGATACCTACTAAAATACAAGTTTATTGTTCATAAATAGAAAATCTGCATGAGTAATATGTCATAAATTCTACACTGGAAATAAAAAACTATACTCAGCTTCATGATAAAAGGAAGGCTCTGACATCTTGGATAGAAGAAACTATAATGCATCTTGGAAATAATGCTAACAACGCAAGTGCCTATATCTTCCTTCATGCGTAACTCAGAACTTTGCTTAACTTTATTAGGCTATTATTGGGATTTGGATTATTAATTATTTTCATAAGATAATAACAAAAGAACATTCTTCAAAGGAAAATCACTAACTTCTTCCATGAAGAAAGGTTCCTCTTTCTCCACTTCAAGGAAGCCAGCTGGGAGCCCCGAGTCACAGTTTGATTGCTGCCCATCACGAGGCTCAATCTTCACAGCTTCTGCAAGTGCCACAACTTATCCCCTTCCCCTACGATAGAAGGAGGTGGGTAGTCTTCTCCTGCAGGTTCAGGGAGAGACAGGTCCTCAGGTGCCGGAGGATGTTTCTGCCGGAGCACTTCTCGGGTTCTATCGTCCCTCGGGGCAATATCATCCGATTATGCCAGCATACGCACAGCCCCTCTTATGTCACCATCGGCCAGCCTACTGGCCACTCGCCTTCCGAGCTCTTGACTTCCGTTTCCCGACTCCCGCCTCACTCTTTCTTCCGGAGCCACTAGATGGTCAGATTCAATAAATGCTCGAATCTACCTCTTGACTACTGTGGTTAGTGGATGGTTGCCAATATTTCGATACTGTAAAAACGCTTTCCGTTTTTGAGTTTGGGTTGCCGTAAGTCCGCGTTCAGGTTTTAGGATAACCACGGTTTCAACAACAAATTTCCTTTTTATTGAATGAAAAAATGTATCTGTAGGAACAAACAAATTTATTAACCCTACAAACTTCAATGTATGCTCATAATATTCAAAAATAACAAATAATCATCAGAACTATGAACAACTTACATGAAGACATAAATCAATGCACCGAAATATTGTAGGCAGTTTTGACGCGGGCTACGAACTAAGCTAGCATGAAACTAGCGTTACGTTGTCGGCTATCTTCACACTCTAAAGGCCGGATATACAAGTAAATCATAGGAGCGCATAAAAAATAGACAATTAAAACTAAGCTAACAAAAGGTTCGCTAAAAATATTTACAGTGTATCATAAAAAATTACTGTTTTTCATTTATCAAACAATGATAATGATTCTTATCACTCCTGCACACACAGTGTGATTAAGTGAGAATTGGCATTTGCTCTTCCAAGATCCAATTTGACTCGTAGAGAGAAGTTTAGTAACACATAATATTAAACATTGCGAATCTTGGCTATCCATCATTACTATCAAGAGATTTTTACTGAAATTTTTGTGAATTCTCTTCATCCCCCATGGTTCCAAAATATGTCATGGGTATTGGCTAGAGCTTTGCTAAGAGCTAAGTCATTTGCAAGAAAGTTGGTAATAGGACATTCACTTGGTAGAGGCTCAATAATTACAATAAAGGGGTTGGCAGGCCAGTCTGTAGAGTATAGCACAGCATAGGTCGAGGACGCTGTTATTCTGTCAAAAAGACACCAAGGTACCATGTTAACCAGAGGCTCCCAAACTTTTTCAGGCTGGCGCCCCCTTTGGCTTGCTAGTGAATTTCTAGCGCCCAAACCACAGATACATATAAAAACAAAGTACAAACGCCTCTTGATATTTAGTACACTGCAATTTTAAAAGAGAAAGGTTCAACACAAATGTGTATTTCACAAATAGAGCCCCATTTAGTACACCAATATGTTTTTCAGCTGTTTTAACTGTTTCAGCTCTAAAAACCCAGGACGTCTTGGGCAAATTTATGGTCGGAATCGTGGCCGGTATCACAACCAATATCCAAATTCAATTATCAAGAAATATCTCTCAAACTAATGAACGCAGCTTGATGAAACTTGGAACATGTATTCATCAGACCCCCAATAATGATGCTTAGCACGTTAAAAATTTTTAAATTTCGCCTTCATTTGTGAGTTATAAGGTTATGCAGGCCAAAATTTGGAATGATCAAAGATTTTCTTCCAAACTGCTGAACAGATTTAACGAAATGTTGAAGATACATTTCTAACTAAGAAATGGTGATTTTTAGCTCATAACTTTTCATTTATTTTGCCTTTGTTTGCAAGTTTTTTTCATTTCACCATCATTCGTGATTTCACACTTCTTTATTTGGCCCGTATTGCTGGGTAATTTGTCACTTAAATTTGTGGCGATTAATAACATTTTTCTAAACTACTTAACAGATTTGAATGAAACTTTGTAAAAAAAAACCTAACCTCCTAATGGTCATGTTTAGCATGTGACAATTTTTTCTATTATGTCTTCACTTGCAAGTTATACAGATATACGGAGAAACGACTGGCTTTTCTACCAGCCGGTTTAACCAAGAGCCATATACGTATAGCCATATAACTTGCAAAAAAAAGGTAAAATTAAAAAATTTTAACGAGCTAAACATCACCATTGCTGAGGTTAGGTATTTATATAGGTACTAAGGTCAGGTATTTATATACTAAGTTCTGTTCAAATCTGTTCAGTAGTTTGAAAGAAATTCCTTGATCACTGTGAAATTCGGCCCGTATCGACCTATAACTCACAAATGAAAGCGAGCTAAACATTACCGTTAGGTCCTAATGAATTTATGTACCAAGTTTCATCAAGTTACGTTCATTAGTTTGAGAGATATTCCATGATCATTTAATTCGGAAATTGGCCGCGAGTTCGGCCGTAAATTTGTCCAAGACGTAAGCCCAGAAGAGGTTCAAAAACGCAGATCTGTTTGGAAAAACCCTCGCAGGGAGTCATGTGCTGCATATGTAGTGTGAAATCGTCAAACAAACGGTCAAAATTCTGACTTCGACTTCTGACTGCCGCCCCCCTATCGCCACTTTGGGAACCACTGATCTAAACGGGATGGTGGACGCCGATGTCTGCAGCGAGCGGGCGGGGAAGACGCCAAAATTGATTGCCTATGTTCAGTAAGGTGCGGCGTGAGCACCGGAGGTTTATTTCGGGATGTACGTCAGTACGTCAGGGAAGAAAGTTGCCAGTATGTTTGCTCAATAAACGAAAATGCAACTCTGACCGATGCCCGAAGATCGACAGTGACGCGCGCGCTTCACGATCGATTCGGCCGATGCCCGATGACCGACAAATGACGCACGCTCTTGCGCGATCGATGCGGCTGATGCTCAATGATTGATAGAGACGCAGGCGCTTTACGATCAATGTGACAGATGCCCGATGATCCATTCTGAAGCTCGCGCTTTGCGACCGAGATGGTCGATGGCTGATGATCAACACGGAGGCACGCATTTTACGATCAACGTGGCTGATGTCCAGTGACAGATTCTGACGCTCGCGCTTCGTTATCGATGCGGCCGATGCCTGATGATCAACATTTATGCACGTACTTTACGAACGATGTATTCCATGGCTTATGATCGACACGGATGCACGCATTTTATGATCAATGTGGCCGATGCCCAATGATCGATTCCGAGGCCCGAGCTGTCTGATCAATGTCTGATGATCAGCAGTTACGCACGCACTTTACGATCGATGTGGCCGGTGCCCAATGATCCATTCTAACGCTCGCGCTTTGCAAACGGTCCGGCCAATGCCTGATGATCAACACCAACACACGCGCTTTATGATCGATTCGGCCTATGCCCTATGATCAACACTGACGCATGCACTTTACGATCGATGTGGCCGATGCCTGAGGATCAACATGAACACACGCACTTCACGATCGATTTGGCCGATGCCCAATTGTCGCGATATACGATCAATGTGACCGATGCCTGATGAACGACACTGACGCAAGCGCTTTACGGTCGATGTGGCCGATGCTCGATGACCGACACAGACGCATGTGCTTTACCATTGATGTGACTGATGCGCGATGATGAACACTGACGCACGCGCTATATGATCAATGTGGCATGATGCACAACATAACACAACACATAACACTATTTAGAAACAAAACACTTTGTAACACAACTTATTACACAACACGTTTTAACATGGCATCACATTATAACACAAAACACTACAACAAAAATTATAACACAACACACAATAATAGTAATAATAATAATAGTAATAATAATAATAGTGGTTTCAGCATTTATTAGGCTGTAGGCCTGTCGCCAATTCTTAACATCGCAGAACATTCACAGCATTTTGCGGCCTCAAACTCGCAACTCACTGCCCTTATTCTGTCATGCTTCACCGCCCGGCCTCCTCGCCGATTCTGACCAGAAACTGGTGCACAGAGCTGGGATCGAACCCGCGCCTCTCAGCGCCAATCTCGGTACTCTGAACTGTAACCACTGAGCCACCATGCCCACATCATAACATTACACCACATATTATAACACAACACATATTATAACACAACAAACTTCACACATTGCAACACAACAACACATAACACCACACATGATATAACACTATACATTGTAACATACCGTAACATAGAACAACACTACAAACTTCACACATTGCAACACAACAAAACATAACACCACACATCACTGGCCGGCGGGAATTTTGCGCAACGGTCCCGCCAATCGCGGCAACTACCTTCGCGATAGCGCGGAAGCTGGCAGTGCCTGCCGGCCTGGTCGCTCGCGGTAGGACAGACTGACTGCGGCAGCAGGCCCTTTCCAGGCCGAGAAGCGCTGCCACAATATTGCGCTGCCGTGGACATTCCTGCGCTGTTGACCACCCTGGCGTTGCGCTGGGGCGAGCGTTGGCGCAGGCAAGTTCACCCGCGGCTGGCTTCCAGACTGCGGCGATTTCTGACTGGGTATGTACAGTTTCTGAGGCCATAAAGCAATTGAAAATGATTTTGAACTCTACAGTGAACTAACATTTTCCCTATATTCCTTAGTTCATTCCAAATTAAATGTTGTTGTGCTATCAGTGAACCTATTTATTTCATGCTTGTGTTGATCCGGGGTAGTTATTCATTGTCTATGAATATGAGAAATTGGAAGCAAATGTTTGATTTAAAATGACAAAGTTTCAAGTCATTCCATAATATTATTAGTGTATATAAAAACGCTTTCCGTTTTTGAGTTTGGGTTGCCGTAAGTCCACGTTCAGGTTTTAGGATAACCACGGTTTCAACAACAAATTTCCTTTTTATTGAATGAAAAATTGTATCTGTAGGAACAAACAAATATATTAACCCTACAAACTTCAATTTATGCTTATAATATTCAAAAATAACAAATAATCATCAGAACTATGAACAACTTATATGAAGTCATAAATCAACGCACCGAAATATTGTGGGCAGTTTTGACGCGGGCTAGGAACTGAGCTAGCCTGAAATTAGTGTTACGTTGTCGGCTATCTTCACACTCTAAAGGTCGGATATACAAGTAAATCATAGGAGCGCATAAAAAATAGACTATTAAAACTAAGCTAACAAAAGGTTCGCTAAAAATATTTACACCAGCCCCTAAATTTCAAATACCATTTAAATTTACATCTTGTGAACCTTCTCTAAGTAAAATCAGCTTGTGAGTAGGCTTTTCGATTATTAGGCACACTATCTTATTAATAGAGGAATCTTTGAACTTGGCAACCTTAATCTTAGCGACTAACTCAGGCGGCGTCGTCGGGTTTTATCTCAACTATGCGCCCGAGAGGCCACTGGTTGCGAGGTAGCTGGTTGTCGCTCACCAAGTCACCAGGCTGCACGGAACGCGTGTCGGTTGTCCATTTTTGATGAGTTTGCAATAACTTGAGGTATTCGCGTTGCCATCTCGTCCAAAACATATCTGCCAGGTATTGTACCTGCTTCCAACTCTTCTTCGAGTAGGCGTCACTCTTGCAAAAAAGTCCGGTTGGGAATGTCACACCGGCATTCAAAAGAAGCAAGTGATTGGGAGTCAGCGCCTCAAGATCATCGGGATTGTCCGAGACTGGCGTCAGAGGACGGTTGTTAAGGATGGCCTCAACCTCGCACATCAACGTGCCGAATTCTTCGTCGTTTAATTTGAGAGGCTGCTCGTTTGTGAGGGCTGAATATTCTGCGAAATAATTTTTGTTCCGTGTGAATTTTTTTCCGAATTCCTTCGGATCTCTTGAGGGCTTGATTACGGTTGTCTGGAAATTTTGCAGTAACCTTTAAGGCGAATCGATGACGTAATGATTGTCGTCATCCATCTTCGAACTAGCAGTCACAATTTCCAGAAACATATCGTCCTCCACCGAGTTACTAACTGCGTCTTCACCAGTTGTGTCGTAATCTTGAAGAAACATTTCCGTGAAATTTTCGTTTATTTCGTTCTCTTCGAAATGAATCTTCGTTCGATGAACTGACACCTCTTTTCTAGTTTTAGATTAAATCGGCCCATTCAGCGCCCATTCCAGCCAGTGCCGGGAGGCAAATGGATCGTTCCACTCCCTGCTGACAGTTTGCAGAGTTTTTAATAAACCAGGCATGTCCATTCCGATCAATACTGAAACTTCCTCGTCGAGGAAGCGAAAGGGTATAGAGTCCAGAAACGGAAGCCCTTCCAAA